TCATAATTTCCATCTTCGTAACTCTGTAATACAGAATAGGTTGACAAAAATGCAAGCTAGCACCAGATGTGATCCCTCCAAATTTCTACAACTGAAAAAGCAAGATGTGTGCTTCAATTATCTTAAATACCACATGATAGTATATACTTTAGGTATTTATTCCATCCACTTGCATAGTACAAATGTGTTATTTGGACATAATTTTCTGTTTTCTCCTCCTTAAGTTTTTCCAATTTAAACATTCTGCTTAACAAGAACTAGAGTTTACCACAGCTGAGGCTGCATGTTTCTGTTAAATTCCATTTCATCCTCCGAGCAAATTACCTGTAAGATGTTACAAGCAGAACATCATACAATATACATGCAATTTGTATGAAGAATACTTGCAATTCAATTATGAAACAAAACAATCCTCAAAATATGGAAACAAAATTCAATTGTGTTAAAAATAAATCCAAATTTTATTACCAAGTTAATGAAGACAGAACATAGTGAATGTCCTGAAAAATTTCAATTACAAAAGTAAACATCTTTTTTCCCTTGAATAAGACTCTATCAAGCATAAATAGCCCTAAGATTCTTACGGGTTCATAAACATAATGCAGCACAAAGTCTGATCAGTCATTAAATTTGGTTTCAGCTATTATTTTCTTCCTTCTTGCTCTTCCCATTTCTCCCATCCTTTCATTATTATTTTGACTTTATCATTCCTAGATATGGAATTTTTTCTCAATATGAAGTTATGAAGTCTCGATTAAATAATGAATCATACAGAATTCAGACTCTACCACACCCCATCTTCGAATCCTTAAAGAATATATATATATATATATTAAATGGAAAAAAGGATTTTTTCTGCATTAAGCAACCACAAATAGCATAATTTCTATGGAGAGAAGACCGGGAGTAGCACATCAGCACAACATCAGATACACAGCCCAAATTCAGACAGGGAAGTCATTTCCTTGATTTCGAAGATAGTGTTTTCTTCCATTCCCAAGTTTCTTCCCATGGATTCTATGGTCAACGTTAAAGGACAATGTCATTGATAAATTTCTTGTAACAACATGATGAGAGCTTTCACCATAAACAGAGCCCATATGATGAGTGCAATCATCCCCAAAAATGGGAGTAAGATTATGTATTGTAGACCATATAATTAAAACTAAGCATAGACTGACCATTAGGAAGGCCTAATAGATGGATTGGAAGTTAAGGTCCTTGCTTAAGTTATAATGACAAACATACTCATATTCTGGCCTACGGACAGTCCCAACACCAGGTGAAAGGAGCAACCCCTCACTGAAGAAGTAAGCATAACAGTGAGCTTTCAAAATGGAAAATGCTGGATTTAGTTTGACCTGACTATAATCAGAAATGAGCACAACAGATCAAGAAAGTTGTGCCACGCTCAACCTGGGAAAGGAGATCCACTATGTCGGTTGAACGTTCTGCTCTAATGAAATTTGTATAAGGAAATGGCACCAAATTTGGTAAGGAGACTTGTAACAGTTTTGCTTTTATTGTTTTTTTTACATTTTTAATGGATTGCAAGGTTGAATAAACTTAAACTTTACTTATCTTCCGATTTCCATTTTCTCAACTCTCTAGCAAAGCACAGGTTTAATAAAACACACACTGATGGCAGATTTGATACCTCCACATTTCTGAAACTTTACAAAGCAAGATGCATGCTGCCATTATCATAAACCGTGGACGATATATTATACTCTACGTATTTATTCCATCCACTTAAAAAGTATAGAGACATGTGGAAAAGAAAAGATCAGAAACTTTTCCTATTACTATTACCGATTGACTCCTCACTAGCCAATGTAATTCAGACTTGCAAGTTTTATACAGACAGGTTTTGATTTTAGCCAAAAGAAGCTTCAGACAGGCAAGCCATTCTCCCAAATCCCAACTGAGTCACTTCCTTCCATGTCGAAGTTACTTGTTGCTGTCTGATTGGTATGACTATGTAGAATGATGCCACTAAGCCATTGAATAATTTCTTGAAACAATTTGATTGTTGGGCCAACCACCCAGAAAGACCATATGAGGGATGAAGCCAAACCCAGGAAGAGCGATAAGATGAAGAGAAGTAGAATCACAACAAGAAGTCCAAACAAAGGAGTAAATTGTTTCATGATAGCAAGGTAATTTGATCGATTTTGAAGTTTAAATTCTGCCATCAAACCCATAACATAGAAGCATAATATCACAAAAACGGCTCTCATGATGCTTCCATGCTCATCAAAGAGGGACAAATTCTTAGATTGAAATTGAAATTGCACATAACCACCTACCGTAGTAATCAGAGAGATTATGACAACGTGTAACAGTGCAAAATATTCCTTTTGCGTTCGGTTTGAACTGCAGCAGCCAAAAAAAAAAAAAAAGTAATAAATAAACTGAATTATAGCATCAATAACAACAATAGGAAGAAACCAAGCAAATAGTAGTAACCAGAAATGAAATTTGTTTAGTTGAAATTCATAAGGAAGTGAAAAACAAGGAAGATGGTAAGATAATGATTACTAAATGCTGATTAAACAAAAACAATGGGAATAATTGATATGAAGTTAATTATGTGTAGTAGAACCTTTGTGAAGAGTTAGAATTAGATGGAGTTAGAGGCATGTTGGGCGGCGCCCCTCCAGCTTGTTGGTGGTCGACCATTATCGGAACCGGGAAGAGAGCGATGGGTGCGACGAAGGACGAAGAAAAAGAAAGAAAGATTTTTTTTTTGGGGGGGTAAAAACAGACAGATTTGAAGATGGTGGGGGCAGGGGGCTGACTGCAAGTCAGTGCCATTTATACCAACGGAGCTTTTAATGTTGAAGCTTTGGATTTGGAAAGCGTCCAAGTTATAGTTTGTAAGTTTGTCCTGTAGTTAGACGGAAGGACATCGTCATTCATCGGATTTTAAGCAAGGAAAAAAAAAAAAAACGGACCGAACCACCGGAAAACCAATGAACCGGTCTCCAGTCCGGTCCGGATGAGCTGCTTAACCGGGGAACCATCAAACCGTGAAAAAACTGGTCCAACCGGTTATAACCGGAATGAACCGGGTATTTCCCGGTTGGTTGGTTGGCCTTTTTTTTTTTTTTGCCTGTCAGCACCCCCAAAATGCTGTCGTTTTATTTATTAAAAAAAAAATTTCTCTTCTTTGGTTCTTCCTTTCCTTTCCGCTCACGATCGTCTCCCATTCGGCCATTTTCCCTCCCTTGAAGACTGAACCTAGCGGCAGCTCATGCGACTCCCTCCCTCAAACCAAAATCAATCCCTGCTCCCTAGCGTCACTGACGGCACTACAGTCTTCGGTAGAGGTCGTTGTTCGGCAGAGCTCCAAAATCGCAGTCATAGCTAGTCTGATCTCCCTCAACATCCTCGCAGTCTGCGGCAGATTTGAAACCGAAAATCACAGCTCTCCACCTCGCAAAGTCACTATCGCATCACTAGTTTGGCGGTTTGAGCTCGCAAGTCTCCCTCAACGTGACCACGTCCTACTTGGCCTTCAGCATTCGCAGTTTGGCAGTTCGTAGAAGCTAAATCCAGAGTCACAGGTCTCCCTCAAATCCCACTCGGCCACTCAGCATTGTCCCTTTGGTGCATTAAGTTGTGGGTAAGCTTAAAACTTTTCCCTTTCAGCTAGATTGTGTTTTTAGGATTAAAGAGATGTCTTTATTTTGTTGCTTCTTTCTCTTCGGCTGTCGAAAGATTTGGGCAGGGAGGAGATGAAAATTGTATTTTGATTTCTGATGAATACTTGAAGTAGGAGAGGAAAGTAGATGAATTTGCTGAAATAATATAGATTATGGGATTAAATTGATTCTGGATGATATACAAAGTATGAACAGCTTAAACTGATAAACTTAAATTGATTTTGTTTCCTTTGGAGATTGGATTAAATTGATTTTGGATAGATAAAGTATGTTTCATATGTCTGAAGTATTGATTGGTGATGTTCTGGTCAGGAAAAAAGAATTGATTAATAATCAATACGATATTTTTTGATTTGAAGATTTAGGACATATAATTATGTACAAATGCATATGTATGAGGTAGATAAATTCATGTTTGTAACTTGAAGCATTGGTTGACATATCGGTATATGGTAGATAAATTGATACTGGATTAAATTGATTTTGTATGGATTTTGTTTCCTTTCCAAGAGGTAGCAGTGATGGATATTTCAAATAATCAAAGTTCTGGAAATGATGATATCACTCCTAATACTGAATCTTCGACTCCCAATACTGAAACTTCCACTCCTTCTGCACCCACTTCTTCATTACGTGCAAAGACTGATCCTGCATGGGCACATGTTGCTTATAAAAAAGAAGGGACACAAAATGTATACACATGCTTTTTTTGTGGTAATAGATATAGAGATGGTGGGATAAATAGAATGAAGCAACACCTTGCTGGTATCACTGGTCAAATATCTTCTTGTAAAAAAGTTTCGCATGATGTACGTCATAGAATGACAGAATCTTTGAAAGAGCGTCCAAAGAAAAAAGCTATTGAAAATATAGAAGAAGAAATTGAAGAAACTCATGTTGATTCTCCAATTATCATGAGTAGTGCAAAAAAAAGAAAAGCTACGGAGAGTATGGACAATTATTTTGCTCCTCACACAACTCCTGATTCCCAGCCAAGTATTAAAAGTGCATTAGCAACAAAAGAAGCAAAACACAATGTGAAAATGTTGATTGCTGAATGGGCAATTGTGAACTGTATTCCATTTAAAGCATTTGATTACCCGTTATTTCAAAAAGCTGTAGATGGTATTGCTTCAATTGACCCTGGGTTTAAAGCCCCTAGTGCTTATAATTTCAAAACCAATTTGCTGAGTGATTGGAGAAAAGAATGTCAGTTACTTATTGATGGCCATCAAGCTAAATGGAAAACAACGGCTGCACACTCATGGTGATGGATGGATTGATGTCGGGCAATGTACTTTGATAAATTTCTTAGTGTATTCTACTCATGGTATGGTATTTGTGAAGTCTGTTGATGCATCAGATCTAGTCAAAGATGCTAAAACTTTGTTTATGCTATTCTGTGAAGTAATTGAGTGGATTGGTTCTAAGAATATTGTTCACGTAGTAACTGATAATGCAGCCAACTATGTAGCATGTGACGGGTTGATTAAGGAAAAGTATAAAAGTATTTATTGGTCACTTTGTGCTGCTCATTGCTTGAATCTTATATTGAAAGACTTTTCCAACATGCCTCATGTATCAAACCTCGCATCAAAGGCATCAAAGGTGACTATCTTTGCATATAATCATACGGTTTTCTTATCATGGCTAAAGAAAAGACCAAGTTGGAAAGAAATTATGCGTCCTGGTGCCACAAGATTTGCTACGACATTTATTATATTGCATAGCATATATATGCACAAAAATGACTTGCAGGCTCTAGTGGTTGATAAACACTTTGTGGACCATAGATTATTGAAGACTGAAGTAGGAAAAAATTTTAGTGCAATCATTTTAGATAATCGGTTTTGGAATGATTGTTATCAAGTTGTGAAGATTGTATCTCCTCTCATCAAATTATTGAGAATTGTGGACTCAGATGAGAAACCTTCATTACCTTATGTTTATGAAGGAATGCGAAGGGCAAAAATGGCAATTAAGGAGATGTTTAAGAAGAATAAGGAACTGTATAAGCGTTACACAACAATCATTCAAACTCGATGGGATAGACATCTGAAGACCAATCTTCATGTGGCATCGTATTTGTTGAATCCTGCAATTACATATGGTCCATACTGTCCTAGCAAGTCAAAATTGATGATGGCTTTGATTGATGTTGTGGAGTCTTACTGAGATGAGGATATTGATGGCTTCCTAGTAATGAAACAAGCGACTACTTATCGCCAAGGGAAGGAATCTTTTAGTAGACCCTCAAGTCAAAAAGTTGCACAAAAACTAGATCCTTGTAAGTATTATATTCAATTATTCATGGTTATTCACTAATTTTATATAATATTGGATACTAAATGTATTTTATTATGCAAATGAATGGTGGACATATTATGGTTGTTCAGTTCCAGAATTGCAGCGTGTTGCAATACATATTCTTAGTCAAACTTCTGTTTCTTTTGGTTGTGAGAGGAATTGGAGCTTATTTAAAAGAATTCATATGAAAAGAAAAAACAGATTGGAACATAAAAGGCGGAATGATTTGGTTTTCACCAATTAGAATCTGCGACTGAAGCATATGTAATCTTGAAAATTGTGAATACCTTTAGTTTTGCATTTTAATTGATTTATATTTATTTGAAATTTTATTTGTCATTAAAGGATTACATTGAAGAAGAGCAAAAGTTATGATCCAATTGACTATGAAAACATTGATATGGTGGATTTTTGGGTGGCTGAAGAAGATCCCACTCTGGAATTTGATGATAGAGATGTGGCTTCATTCGAAAATATCCTTAACAATAAGGGCATTGCTAATTCAACAACTCTTGAGAAGGCTACTGAAGGTTTATAATTTTATATATATAATTAAGACTTTATTTCTATACAAATATATAATTTTTTGTATGATTATTAATATTGATCATTGTTTTACATAGGTGATGAAGATATGGACATTGCTGGCCCACCACCTTTACAAGATGATGTTGTTGCTCCTGCTTTTCCTCGTCCAGTTGTTGACATCTCAATCCATGCCAATGATCTTAGTGATGATTTTGATTTTCCATAGTGAAGGTATACATTTCATTAATATTTGCTTGGTACGATTAAACATTAAACTAACTTTTGTAGCTTCTCATCTTTTTTTTTAGTGATTATTATTTTTATAAATTTTGCTTCATTTTAATATTATGAATTAAATTATATTATTTTAATATGACCGGTCCAACCTCGGTTCGACCTCGGTTCGACCAGTAACTCTTGACCCACTGTCTCGACCAGTTTAATGCCTGGTCTGGTTTTTTGTTCCTTGTACATTGATCAATAAAAAAAGTCTCCTGGACAAATTAAAACTTGAAAAAAAAATTAATATTAAAGTTATAAGTATAACAACAGAACGGCGTTCATACATTGTTCAAAGATATTTTTAAATACTGAAAAAAATTATATATTAATTATATATTATGCATATATAAGATTTAGTTATCATGTATGACATACAATTAGATGTATTTAATAAATAATATATATATATAAATTCAAAAAATAACATTATTATATAATTAGCCAGTTTATATGATTGTGATATAATTTGAATTTGTTATTAGCATAGTTTGGTTATAAAAAGTTATTTTTTGAAGCTACTATGAAAGAGTTAAATTTATCGGTTTATTTAATAATGTTGTTTCAATTACTAACTCCCACCACAAAACATTTTGTGACAGAGTTTTTCGATCATGAATTTTCATCGCGATTCCATCACTAATCCGTCACAAAAAATATAATTAAATATATAATAATTATTTGTAATACTTATTATTAAAATAAAGTAAATATATCATAATTTTGAATAATATATTATATAAAAAATAAAAAATATTATAAAACAAGACAAAAAATAAAAATATATAATATACTTATTATTTTGTTAAATATTTGAATAAAAATATAAATTATTAGAAAATTTTTTTACTGAAATACAAAAATTAAATTCAAATAAATAATAATATATTAAATTATATATAATACTTATTATATATACTTGTATTTGTTATAAGAAATATTATATATATTTATTTTTGCATAAAAGTTTCACATGTGTTTCTTAGCTCAATTAGCAAAGGTTTCAGCACGCGTGCAGGAGGTTGATCATGTGGACAAGGCAATAATGTGATGGCTCATAATGATGGACACATGGCGATGACGTGAACGATGGGATGACGTGGCCACATAGGAGAGAGGAGGTAAGATGGTGTTCGTTGATGACATGGCGGCTCATAATGATGGATACGTGAAAAAGACATGGATGAAAGGATGACACAGCAATATGGGAGAGAGAGGAGGCAGTAAGGTGGCGGCAGCTCGTAATGATGGATAAGTGGTGATGATGTGGATGAGAAGATGATGTGACCGTGTAACATCCCAAATTTTAAGTCTAAAAGTATCAGAATTAGCCTAAAAAATACAGGTAACTAGACCCTAGTCAGCAGGAGTCCTAGAAATGTGAAAGAAAAGCAATAAAATTTTCAAGGACTAAACCACAAATTGAGAAAATTTTTGGGACTAAAATGTAAATAAAGTTAGAGATTTCAAAAAAGTTTTAAGGCCCAGGAATGAGAAATGGGGATAAATAAAGGCCAAAAGTTGTGTTAGAGACTATAGAGGAATGATTCTCGAGGTTAATTCCTAGCAGGTACTAAATTGTAAAGTCAAAAGGTTTCAGGTCGAAAAGGGCAATACTGAAAAATAAGCCCAAAAATTCCAGAAAAATTCTGCAAAATTCCCATAAAATGAGAAATGAGATTATGAGGCTTGTTTGAGGTCAAAAATGACAAAAATACCCTTGGACTGACTTTAAATGAATTTTAAAAATTATGACTTATTTTGAGATGTACAAATAGATTTAATTATTTGAGCCATAGAAATACCTTGGAAAAGTAAGTAAAAATAGGGATTCAGGAGCTAAGAAGCTATAGAAAATTATAAAATTAGTCTCATCCCCAGAAGGCCAACAGAATGGCTTTAAGAATATTTAAAAACAAGTTATGCCGTTTAAGGGTATTTTACGGGAAATTCAAAAATAAATACTTACATATTGAGTTATAGTTCGTGAAATTTCACAAATTTTCTCCAGAATTTAGGAAAGTTTATGGTATAAATGGATTAATTTTTGGACCTCTAGATTGAATAAAATGCTTCATTCAAATAAATTTTCACCCTAAATAGGAGACAAAATCAAAGAAAATATCTAAAGGTAATGGTTACGGTACTGAGTCAGCATTCTGAATCACCAAGTGCATTTATGACATAATTATGACACCTTTGAGTCAGTATGCTCAGTCACCGAGAGCTATTTATGGATAGTAAAAAAATCAAAACGCGGTACAGGTATGTTTTAGACAGTCTTCTGTCTACCCAATACAGCGAAATATCTACTGTGTGACTTAGTGAAGCTAAGTAACCTATCAGTAAAGCTAACTATTTTCTTCTATGGCCCTTTGAGATGGCACCACATGTGGACTTATTTGAGATGAGAAAAATGTGTCAGAACATGTCCCATTGGTACCGGGTAAGCCAGGACCCGAAAAAACACTCGATATGGTGTAGAATGACAAGATAGATGGAGAAATATCTAGTGGCTGCCTTTTGCATAAATTTTCTATTAATTTCTTCCCTATTTTAATGCCAAAATAATAAAGAGACATGTAAGAGATTATGTGTACGGTTAGATGGGAAAAGAAGGTATTACATGTACGATTACACGAGAGACGTGTGGCTTGATGATGTAAGCAATCTAGAAGTTAGACACATGGTTTGGTCAAGATGGAAGATAAGGGATAAGGGACACATGGCAAGATCATAAGGAAAGATCAAATTGATGGCCAAGATTAAGCCTCACATATACAAGATCAATGACTAAGATTTAATCTTATTATAAATACCCTCCCTCTCATTTTATGCAATGTTTTTAGCCAATGATAAATAGAGGGGAGAGGCCGAGCTTCACAAGAGAAGAAGGAGAAGAGGAACTTCAAGTAATCCCATGTAAGATCAAACTCAAAAAAAAGGTATGTTTATGATTTTTGACGTAGTTTTCACTACACTTGTTATTACTAAGCTTGGCCATGGGTTTTGTTGGATTTTGGAAGCTTAAAACTCCAAGGGGACATGCTACACAAAATTCTTAAGTGTAAGGGAAGATAAAATTGATGTTAGATTAATGATTAAGAGGTTGAAACAAGCTTGACTCAAGTGGTTCTGCGATGAATTTTCAAGAAATCCAACTTCCCTTTTTACTTAGTATGTTTCATCCTTGTACAATTAGATATATTAGGGTTTGATTTTGATGATTTTGATGCTTCCAATGAGTTTAAAAATGAAAAATTGTGTGGGGTAAAGATAAGAAAATAAATTTGGAAGCATTAGACTTGAAAATAAAAATTTTGAGCCATAAACATATACCTCTCGGCCTTTGTGTGTTCTTGGGGGAAGGAGTTGGATTTCATTGTTTTGAGCTTAGAAATGAGTTCTACATGTTAAATTATAGGGAAATAGCATGTGGAATTAATTTTAGAAAGATTGAAATTAAAACTCAAAAGTTAAGGGATTATGTTATAATCAAGAAAGTAAGTTGAGTTCATGTGATTGTTTAAGTTGTAATGTGGAATGCCCCTATGGTGTGATTGATAGGGAATGTGCAATGATCAAGGAGACTCTAAGTTGAGAGGAAGGGATCAAGAGAGAAGCTTGGAGTAGAGGTAGCAACAACTTACAATTTTTATATAACTTGCCATTGTTTGTTATGTGTTTGTGTACCATGATGTGGTTGGACAATATATGATTTTATGGGATGAGTTACCTGCATTGTATGTCTTGGCTAAATGCAAGATTGAATGAGTATTTGACTTGGTTATGTGTTCTCTTTCCATGGCATGACATTCATGAGAATGGCATGAAAATTTTGCATAACATATAGCATACTATACCATGCATTGTTAGCATATTAATTGTAGTTTTTTGCTACTGAGTTTCTCCCGAATCTCACCTCTATCATATAAACCTCTATCATATTTAAATGACAACATTTTAGGGGTTGGAATTTTCAAGGAGAAAGGGAAATGTGAAGATGCCATAAAAGAAGTTGAATTATGAGATGTGGTTAATGTATTGATTTTTGCCTCTTG